CCTCTTACTTACCAATTGTTATTTTCTGTTTAGCTAATAAATACTTTAGTAGGAGTGAGATAATGACTCTTTGTGGTCTTGATTAGCATTTTTCATATCTTAGCATTTTTTCATATACATTTCAGCCATTTGTATGTCTCTTGGAAACAAATATTCAACATCCTTATTTATTTCATAGTTTGTTACTACTATCAGGTTAATGAGCATGAATTTCTAATATATTTTGGATAGCATCTTTTGTTCTTTATAAAATTTATAATTCTGTCTAATTTTAAAGATGTTTACTTTTTTATTTGAAAGGCTTAGTTACAAAATATTAGAATGGGCTTGACACACTAGCCTAGTGGCTAAACTCCTAGCCTTCTGTTTGCTGGGATCTTATATAAGTGCCAGTTCCTGTCTCAGCTGCTCCACTTCCATCCAGCTTTCTTTTTCTTTTAAATAAAGATTTATTTTATTTTTACTGGAAAACCAGATATACCGACAGGAAGAAACAGAGATGAAAATCTCCTTCTGTTGATTCACTCCCCAAGCGGCCACGATGGCCAAAGCTGCACCAATCTGAATCCAGAAGTCGGGAACCTCCTCCTAGTCTCCAACAAGCAAGGAGCTGGATAGGAAGTGGGGCTTTGCTTGTGGCCTGGGAAAGCAGTAGAGGATGGCACAAGGTCTTGGGACCCTGTATTTAGCTGGGAGACCTGGAAGAAGCTCCTGGCTCCTGGTTTAGGATCAGCTCAGCTCTGGCCACCCATACAAGATGCCAGTGCCATAAGGTAGAGAATTAGGCTGTTGTGCCACTCTTCTGGCCTGCATAAATATTTTATTAGATTTCATAGACTGTCCTTTGTGCTAATGATTGCTTTCATTATTGTGCAGTACATTTTTAGTTTGGTGTAGCCTCACTTGCTTATTTGTTCATTTCTTGTCATTGCTTTTGTTGTCATATTCAAAAGAACATTACTAATACCAATGTCAATGGGATTTATCTTATTCTTTCTTCTAGAAGTTTTACAATATTAGGCCCCAGTTTAAGATTTTAATACAGTTTGCAGGTTTTGTGATATAGTGAGATGGAAGGATCCAATTCCCTTTGGTTTTAAAGATTTCACCCTTTAATTTCACAACAGCTACATAATATTTAATAATAATTTTATCACATATTAAGTGACTTGATTTTTGAATCATGCTGGCTAGATTCACATTTGGGTTGTAAAGAGGAGTTTGACCACATCAGACTGATATTTTATTTCTAAAATCTGAAGTCCACCTGAGTGACTCAATAATGAGGAAATGGTGACAGTATGCTGACCAATATGGAGACAGAAAAACCATTAAGAGGCAGGTTAAAGGAGACAGCAGCCCTCCAACTGCTCTGAATACAGAAGCTAACCTATTAAGGGATGGTCATTTAATGTGAATCCACAGAAAGCATTTAAGATTATTAATTTATTCATTTTTAGTTGAAAGGCATATTTTACTGAGAGAAGAGAATGATGCGCCATCTGCCAGTTCACTCTCCAAATGCGCACATGTGTAGAGCTGAGCCAAAGCAAAGTCAGGAGCCAAGAACTTCCTCTGGGTCTCCCACACGGGTGCTAGGGCCCAAGCAACCAAGCCGTTCTCCATCATTCCGCCATGCCATAAGAGGGATCTACATCAGGCATGGAGCAGTCAGGACACAAACCAGTGCCCATATAGGGTGCCACTGCCACAGGTGGAAGATCAACCTAATTCACCATCTCACTGACCTCCCCAAAAAACCCCTTTGCCTCCAGTTGAGTCTTATGTTAATCACCCTGCTAACAGTGCACCTTTTCTGTTGGGAACCAGTGGCATCAGCTGTGACCACAAGGAACAGGACTCATGAGAAGGGGAGTCAGCACACCTTCTCTCCTTTACCCAGCCAATTTAATAACATCTCCATAAAATAGCAGAGATCATGATGACTGAGAGTGGTCAGGCGTAGAGGGAAAACCAGACTAGTAAAGCATGAAAGTAAAAATTGCGGGACGCCAAAAAAGAATATAAACTGAAGTATGGCAAAGTTCTGACCTCAAATCAAGCCTTTCCGAGGACTGAGGAAGAGGCAACAGGAGCTGCTTAGTCACTTGATAGCCGTTTGCTGCCTCACTTGCTTTCATGACACACAGCTCATAAGGAAACTTTGCCAAAGACTCAACCAGACACTCACTTTCAGTTTCTTCAGTTACCTCCCCTCCCATAGGTCCTTGTGTGAGACACAGAAATAATTTTAGCACACTATTGCAATGAAAAAAAAAAAATGTTTTTATTAGCCAGAAGCCAGGTGCTCAGGGGGCTTCATGATTTCACCAGATTGGTGGAGAGCAGGGAGGGGAGCTTAGTGGTACTTGTGAGCCAGGGCATTGGCCACACCAGACACCACCTTCTGCCAGGCAGCCTGCATCTGGGGAGTGAATTCAGCGCCAAAGTGGTGGGACAGCACAACAACCAGCACGTTGCCCAGGAGCTGTGGGAAAGACGGGAGAAATGAACAGGGTTAGCACTGGGTCCCGCTTGGACTCAGATTACTCCATCCTTATCACAAATGGCGCATGTCATTCTAACTTCAAAAATACAGGCAGAATGATGGCTAGGATTAACTGCTTCTACCAACAGGAATCTTCTTTCGCCAGCCAAAATTGACATGCAGAAATGCTCTTTCATTTCACTGAATTATGACAGTTATTGCTTAAAATTGTGTAAAGAAAGCTGGCCTTGCAAGCAAGTTTTGAAAAAAAAAAAAAAACTTACATTGTGGCAAATAAACAAACACTTGACCAAGAGAGAAAAAAAAAGTTGAAATGACAAACACAACATATAGTTTAATTAAAACTGGGAGATTAAGGAAAACAAGAAGAAGCAATGGCTGTGAATACAACAAAAATAAAGAAGAAATTAAGCCTCATTAGAATGCCACCGTGATGCAAGCAAATGTCACTTTTCCTTTCTAAACACTCTTTGAACTATGACCTCTCTGTAGCACATTGATTTAATCACAGGAAAAACAAATAGGATGAGAATGGTGGAGGGAATCCAAACACACCTTGAAGTTCTCGGGGTCCACATGCAGCTTGTCACAGTGCAGCTCACTGAGCTTGGCAAAGGTGCCCTTGAGGCTGTCCAGGTGATGCAGACCCTCGCTGAAGGCATTCATCACCTTCTTGCCATGAGCCTTCACCTTAGAATTGCCCATAACAGCAGCGGCACTGGACAGGTCACCGAAGGACTCGAAGAACCTCTGGGTCCATGGGTAGACAACCAGCAGCCTGAGAAAGGAAAAATGGCCAGCAGAGAGAGGAAGTCAGTCCCTGGTGGCAAAGAAGGACACTGACTCTGTTTCCACAAACACAGTTCCATTCAGCTGCCTTAAAAAGTGGATACCAACCTGCCCAGGGTCTCACCACCAACTTCATCCACATTCACCTTGCCCCACAGGGAGGTGACTGCAGACTTTTCCTCACCGGAAAGGTGCACCATGTTGTCTGTTAGAGGGGCTTGCTAGTAAACACAGCTGTGTCAAAAGCAAGTGGTAGCAGCAGCTGCTGTGCTCTGCCTTTTATGCCCAGTCCTGCATCACGTAATCCCTAGTCCTGTGACTAGATTGGCCAACACCAGGGCGCGGCTCTGCTGGGTGAAGCTGACTGACGACAGTTCTCCTGTGCTTGGCAGTTTGGGCACGGGCGTAGAAGTCTGCGATCAGACTGCGCCCTCCTTCTACGTATCTCCCAGATCCACACCAGCAGTGCCAATTGCTACCAAAAACACTTTCACTGCCAAATTTATTTGCATATATTTTTTGTGAGTAAGTCTGATAGATATAAAAACTACTGCCACAGTTTTTTTTAATCACACAAATGAGAAATTTGGGCACAGAAAATGGAGATTTTCTAGTTGAAGATCCACTTAAGAATATGTGTGTGGATCTCTGTTTGTGTCTCCAAAACATTCAAAATAATTACAAAAATAGATTGGATGTAACTTTTCCCATAGGTATATGATATGTACATCTTCCTCTGCTTTGGATTAAATCCTGCTGGTAAGAAAAAAAATGCTGAGTGGGGTCCCCACCCTCCCTTGCTGTGACCATTAGGATTGCTACACTAACCCCTGAAAACAAACAATCATACAAACAACCAAAAAGTCTAGAATGGAAGACAACAACATGGAAAGCTTAGAATCAGACAGGAAACGCCCTGCATGGACCCAATCAGGCCTCACTAGGTGGGACACACTGGGGTACGCCTCACTGGGATATTGGGGATTTCTCTGCACACCAATCCTAATAAAATGTACTGTACCTAAACTGATAACTCTATGGAATGAGGTTGAATACAAACCAAAATTGAAATGTCTATGAAGAAGTCACAGGATGTAGTTAAGAAACCGCATTTTCCCATCAACATACTGTTAATAATACCATGTCAATTAATGCCTTAAGGTTGTAAATGGCTGTTGATGTTATGTTGGGACTTTTAATTGATTGGGATGATACTTTGCTGGCTTTACCTTCAGACCAGAGATGGTCTTACCAACAAATCGTTGAACCTACTAGGATAATAAGACACAGGACTTTATGCTAGGTAAATACTTCCAATGAAAGAACCTCGCTGAATTTGAACTGTGGTAATGCAGCAAGGTGGAGAAATCCACCATGGGGAGAGGATTCGGGAAGATGTCACATAATACAATGCAATTAATAAGAAAACTAAATATTT